ACAACTTCTTTACAAATTTTGTTTATTTGAAGGCGATGTGGATCGCAAATAACCAGCAGATTTGTAATTTTAAAAAATAATGAAGTAAATTTTTGTCCCATTCAAAACTTACCTCGTAAGCTGGAAGTAAGCTTCTGGCCAAAAGCCCAGCTCCTGCCACTCCTATTCGTCGACCTGAGCGCGTCATCAGACCTGGCCCACAACATCCCGCCATGGTCGCGTTGTGAGCTGTTGTCAAAGCAGGAAGGTGTGTATACGGAAAAATAAGCGGCCGAATTAGTGGTTCAGCGAGAATTTGATCGGGCCAGAGGCTGGGCTCGAGGCCAGGGCGCTGCAGCCGACGTAGACAGAGGGCCAGCTGGCGCGACTGGAATGGCCGAGCAAAGCAGTCAGCTGGAAGAGCCTGAAGCCAACAGTTCAGTGAGATATCGGGGGCCATATGCGGTGAGACAAGAATCGTGGATTCGCAGCCAAGACTCCCTTTGTTTTGATGGCCTGAGTGCCGTTCCGCCTCCTCTTCCTCTTCAGGGTCGCCTATTTGGTTAGGAAAAATATGAGCAGTTCAAAAAAATGATAAGTGAGAGAAAATAAACCGAAACCTTCAAGGAGACAATTTCAGACAGAAAACACATATAAAGGTTGAATATTAAAGGGTGGGACATAGTTATTCTGTTGAGCCTACTTAAATTCCGAGAGATTTAAGGGTAGATCACATCAGAAGACGACGGAGGATTCCTCTTAATCAGCTGGCGATTTGCTTTACTGGAACATTCTTGCTGAAGATGTTCCTGAGATAATCTCCTTCGATTCCGATGAAAAAGAGCTAAGCATTCGTCCATCGTATGACGGATATCATGAGATCAGGATATAATCATCAAAACACTATTCAAGCTAACGAGTCAAAAAACTCACCGGCTCATCCCTAAAATGCAGTATATATATCTTATATGTGAGCACTTAGATGAGGTATAAAATGACCTGGTTAGTTTCAGTTATATGCCAGCCTCAAGGCATGCAAGTGTGTCTCTTTGTGTGCCTGCATGCGTTTACATATGTACGAAAACAGCAATTATGGCTAAAAGTAATTAGAACGGAAAAAGTAACGTCTGTTCTCGGCCATCAAGGTTTGATGATCACCATCACTACCTCTCTATATATTATAACCATCAATCCGATTACGCAGGGTCGGACGCACGTCTAGTTTTATCGATGAGCTTTTTCTCTTCACGTGAGAGAGAAAGAGTAGGCTAAAAGTACAGAAAAGTGGCCGTGATAAGAACCAGTAGGGTTTAGAGACTACCAGTAAATCAGTGTAATGAGATCTATTCACCCTATTTCTGGTAGTCTCGAGACCCTACTTACATACGAATATAAGTAACGTTGTCGATTGTTATAGCAAACATACGTTTGCTTCATCGACACTCCCACCAAAGAATATGAC